CTGATGGTCATAATTGCGTTTTATCTTTAAATTTTAATTTTTTTTAGAAATAAAAATTATTTAAATTTGGAATGTTTACTCTTGAAAAATAAGCACACTTAACAAAAATATTAAAAAACAATTCTTAAAAAATAAATTGAAATATAAAAAATATTAAAATAAATTATTGATCATCAAAATAGCCCTGATTCAATCTAGGCTACTGAAAGTTTACTGTAGTTATAATATAATACATCACAATCATGAATTTGTATGTTTCCATGTGCACGTTGTCGTTAAATTTCGTTTTTATAATGTTGTTGGAGCATTCATTTGAATTCTTTGAAATAAGCTATTAGTTTTCTCGAATTTCAGTGCTGGTCAAGATAACCACCTCTAAAAATTTAGGTGCAAAATCCATTTATTTGATGGATTTTTGAAAGCGGACACATATGAACGCATCAAAATCTTTCCCTAGTTATAAATTTTATAAAGTTAAGGTTTAAAGTAACAAAAAGTATAGAGTTCTGAATTTGGGGGAAGTTGGATTTTTCTATTCAGCAAGTGCAGGACTCTAGGAAGGTTCACATGTTATTTTTTGGAGAGAATAATACTGGCTCAGATTGTTTAAAACGCTAGAAGGAGAGCTTGCCCTAGTCTGTAACGACTCATCCCAAATATGATATAACTTTATAGAAAATGGAATTAGATATTATGAGATTATCTCATAAAGTTATAATACTTTCAGTGATTATATGTCAAATTAGATAACTTGAAGTATATCACAAAGTTCGAGTTTTTTATTTTTTTATTTTTTATTTTTTAATTCTCAATCTAATCAACGACATACTTAACTAGAGTAATTGCCTCCTTGTATTAAAAGTAAAGGATCAGAAAATAAGTTATAGATCGTATAGTATTTTAAAGCTAGGCGCTTTGCATTCCTGGCACAGATCTAGACCACAAGCATTAAACGGTGGCCCAAAGCCAAGCCAGCCACAACACCAGCGAGTGAGCAGACTAGGCCCCTAGTCATTTAGGTACATACGCACACACTAGTCTATCATTTTTCAAATGAAAAAAAATATAAAGACAATTTACTTTCAAGAGGCCAAAATTACCTTTATCTATCAAATTTCAAATGGAGAGGTTGTCATCCCATGTCATTGACTAAATTCAATGTTAAAATAGACAAATGCTCAAACTTTCTAGCACACCCCACCTTCCAATTTGACATCTTGTAAAATGATAAAATAGTCTCGTAATATACATTCCCTTTCGAAATAGATAATGGAAGTCACATTACCAATCAAAAAATGCCACTGATCAACATAATTATAGCGACCGGTAAAGGTGCGAAAACATTCGAAAGAACCACTCCAATAGGTTAAAATAACTCAAAATTCATGTACATGTAGATGCCAAGCCCCAGCCCATGTCCACCTCAAGAATGAAAGGAATGCATTTCTATGTTTGATAAGAATTTGTCTATACTTTACAACTTAGTGGGAGAGGGGTGCACCACCTTTTGAGTATCTTTGACAAAAACCCCATCCACATGACCTCAAACAACAGACCACCACCACCAACCGCCCGTGCCCCCCAAACGAACCACCATCACATGCCCACCCATCTTCCCTTTTGTTTTTTTTCTTTTTTTTGAACTTTGACTTCATTGTCCAAATTAATATCATACAGCCTACATCAAGACCATAACCACTGTTCCACACCATTGTGACTTGTTTCTCATCCAGATGAGAGAGATGATTGCCTCAACCCGAAGCCCTACTGACAAAGAAGGCTTGGAGGAGAGCATGAGACCAAGCAAACAAGAGTGGCTATTCCCTTCCAGCAGCTCCATTTATGGTGGTTTACGGTGGTTTTCTCTCACTAATTCTCCAAAAAATGATTTCCATCTTGAATGTAATGGAATGGAAGCTCTTGACTGACGTCAGACAGTAAACAGTCAGGTCAGTCTATTTCCCCTTCCTCTACATCTGTAGGTGCAGGCATAGGAATGGGAGGGGGGGCTTCTTCTTCCTCGTCATCATCCACTTTCATGTAAAGGCCAAGTCGCTCAAGGGGGTTCATGCCACGAAGCTTAAACGAGCCCAAGCCGTCTTGTGAGTGATCAGGGCTAGTCTCGTCAACCGAGCTTGGTATATGCTCTGGGGGAGCACTCCTCAACATTTCCAGGTCTTTCAAGAACTGGCAACTTTCATCGATTTCAACAGTTTTTTCCATCTGAAAAGATTAATCACAACCATTGCATTTAGCAGAGTGCAACATTGCAAGAAGGTCCAAGAATTCCGTTGGATGCTATATTAATGGCTACTTGGTATTAGCGTTAGGACCTGTACTTACCTTCTGTAAGGCCAAGCGTGCAGCCTCTCTCTCAAGTTGCCGTTTTCTTTTAGCCTCAGCCTCGGCTTCTGCCTCTGCATGTTTACGAGCCTCTTGTGCAGCTTTGGCTTCTGCTTGCAACCGTGCCCTCTCTGGTTCACAAAATTTGACAGTGCACAATTTTTTAAGTGGAAGGAAAAACATTCCAATACCCATAGACCAATAGATTACGCATGTTGCAAAACATAAAAATAAAAATAATATGCAAGTACCAAAGGCAAGATAATATACCCAAGTAGAGGGAATCATGTTGAAGAGAAACTTGCAAAACCACTAAGAGGACCAAGAGAATGGGATTCAATGTCCTAAATTGAAGCACCACAAGACAGGATGACATGCTATCTTAAGTTAACAGTGTAAAAGGAAAATCAGGAATGGAGTGACATGAGGAGCAGTTTATTTGAACTTTGAAGTAATGAGTGGCGGCAGTAGACAGAGGCATTACGTCAAATCTCACATATTTTTCATGCTCAGTTACAAGATAATAAAGGACCAGAATTTTAGAAAAAAAAAAAAAGAGGAACAGACATTATACAATGGCATAGACACAGATGCACAAACACGCATTATTAAGTCGACTAGAAGGATTGTGCTAATACAGAATTACAAAGATTGAAACCAGGTCCTTAGTAGCATTTTACTATTTCCACACATAATAGGAGTGAAAAGAGTAGTAGTGCTTTCCATGAATAAAAGCAGAACGCAGAAAAAAAGAGATGAATATAAATGTGGCAAAGTGAAGTAGCTAGTGCACTTCTTGGTAAGGCATTACAAATGTGGAAGCTACTAGGAGGAACAGTAATTATCTAATACAAATAGTGGACGTGGACTCTTATTATTGAGATTATCAGTGAAGTAACAGGTGATATTCTAATCCTTAAGCACTTGTGTCTCCATCACATCCAATAAATCACTTCCCATTTATTCATTCTCAATCCTAGATTGTCTCCAGTGCCTCCCTCCTATCTCGTAACCTCTGCTACATCTATCTCCCTCCAATTGCCTGGCTGCTTATAAGCCTAAACCACCTTCTCTCACGTCACTTTGTCCACCCAATGATTGGATACTGATGAACCAACACACCATGGTTTTTTCATAGTCTGTGGTACTCTTGTCCCTGTATCTACATTTCTGTGTGTAAATAGGAATGCTGGATGTGGTCTCGAGATGAATATTTTCAATTTAAAACATCATCGGCAGTTGTTGCATGATCTGATATCACAATATCACAATTTCTAAACAAAATATAGCAAAAAACAAGTGCATGCCACAATCATCATCTGTGCTTTAAGTTCTAACCTTCCCTCTGCTGCCTTTCTAGTTCCTCTCGCTCACGACGAAGTTTCTCAGGATCCCCCTTTTCCTGTTACAAAAATCACACATATTCACATATCCATATGACAAGATCAGTTGTTCCTAGAAATGTCAAAAAGAAGTCAATGCAACTGTGACTGACCTGATCACGGGTCTTCTCCCGAGCTTTAAGGATAGTGTCCGCAAAGCGGCTCCTTAACAAGGCTGCCCGCAAAAGTTTTTCTGGGGAGACCTGTCTCTCAGATGGAGCATTCTCCCCTAAAAATGTTCATAGTGAAAAAATAAGGTGATGCACTGGAATGAAATGCCTAATATCCACCACCCCAATTTCTTCTGAGAACTCATGCTTACCCTCACGACGGCCATCTGATTCTACCGAAGCTGGCTTTCTATTGGTAATTTGTTCAAGTTCATCTAACTCACTCACGGATCCTACAAGTGAGAGGAAGTAGTATATTCAGATGCATAGAAGCTCTTTTTTTTTCTTTTTTCTTTTTTTTTTTGAGAAAGTTAACTTTGAATTGAAAAGTAGACTGTACAAAGTGCAAAAGTTAGCCTCCCAGAAATGGGAGCAGGATACCAAATCACCAAGGCGGAAATAAAATCTCTCTCTCTCTCTACT